AAGAGGTGGGACCGTATGTAGTGTACTATGTAGTTTATTTTGTGTTGGATACTTGGATGTAGTGGGTTGGACATTAGAGATTTAGAGTTGGGATAAAAATGGGCTAAAAATGGAAGAATAAAATGGGCTTGAATACTTGATGTTGGGTTAAAAAAAATAAAAAATGAAACAAATAATTGGGCCAAAAAATTAGATTTAGAAAAAATTAAAATAATTTAATTTATTCAATATAAAAAAATAAAAAATTAGGAAAATTCGGTTCTTCGGTTCTTGGTCTAGAACCAAGAATCGAATCGTACCCTTCAGTTCTTGATTCGGACACCCATTTGGATATTTAACTTAAGAAGAACCGTCGTGTTTGGTTCGGTTCGGTCGGTTCGGTTCGGGAGTTTTGTTTAGCCTTAGGTGAGATATAATCGTATCAGAATTTCTTCAACAAGAAAAAAGAAAAAAAAACTTCTCTACAATTTCTTTGATAGCTCATCGGTATATAAATAATTATATAACTACTTATGTACAAGTAACATTATTTTATTAAAATATTGTTACTTTATTCTATTTAAATATTGTTGCACCTCTAAAAATATTATGTTGGAGGGCCTCGTAATAATTTGTCGCGTAGGACCTCTAAATTTTCAGGGCTAGTCCTAACATTAGTAACTCATCCTCCACAAATAAAAAATAAGCAATGATTGTCTAGGTGATAGGAAATAATAACCTAGGCTATATATACAACCTAATTAGCATGATAACCTACATGGTTGACATCAAACACCAATCAAAATCCTCAAGTTTGGGGGGTGGGCCATACTTCGAGGTCAACATTATAGCTGATGCGACATTGGTGATCAATTTGATTGTTAATGTCTATAAATAGAGCAAATGGTCCCACTCCAATCGAACTCAGCGAACTCTTTATAATACGCTTCAAATTTTCAATCATTGAGAATTAGCCTTCCATTTCCATAAATGAAAAATCATCTAAAGTTGATCTAAATTAGAGTTGGACATGGTTCGGTTCAAATCGAATTGAATCAGATTTTTTAGATATTCAGTAAGTGAAATCGTCAGGTCCAAATTTAATTATAGAACCGAAATAGTTCGGCTCTTTGTTTCGAGTTGGTTCGGTTCGATTTGATTTCTTAGGTTCCATACCATAATTAAATTTTTTAACATTTATAACAACACTATATTAATTTAATGAATGATAGTTCAATTTTAATTTTTACAAAATAACATAGTCCAATTAAAAAATACAAATAAAAGCTGTCTAATAAGATCCATTCACCAATATGTACAAATTATTCAAAAAGTAAATAATAATGCCAAAACATTGACGATCTTGAGCAGCAAAGATGAAGTCGTGACTTGTGAGAGGAGAGTCGCTGAAAACAATGGCAACAGCTGAATTTAAATTAAAGAATGAGTGAGTGTTAGGTGAATTGTGAATGAAGTTGAGCTTAAATGTGGCAAACAATGGCAACAGTTAAACCTAAATAATAAAATGAGTGAGTATGTTAGGTGAATTATGAAGTGACGTTTGGCTTGGATTGAAATTTGCCGGAAAACTATTGGGTAAATTAGGCCGGTTACTGCCTAAAACTAAGCAAATTGAAAAATGGAATGCATTATTCATAGAGTAGAAAATACGTTCCTTTTCTAAAACCCTCTAAATTGCCCTTTCCAAATTTATACATACGGGCCTTTTGCGGATACAAAACTCCAGTTCTTAAACATCAAAGAACAAATTTCACAGATCAAATTCTCAATCAACCGCGAATAGGTAAAATCACTAAGAATTTATTTTCGAGTTTGCATATGTAAAGTTCAGATATCAAAGAGAAATTTATTTCATTTTATACCTAAATTTCCTCATATTATTAGATGTTAAAGATCCAAGGTTTTAAATTCTAATACGAACTGGCATAAAAAATATAATTGAGTTTGAATCTGAATTTATGAACAATGAAATATTATCTCATGGTTTAATATGATTCTCTTAGGATTTTAATTTAGTTACTCCTCTTGAACCGAATTTGAATCTTATTTTTATATGAAAATGGGCACTCTTTTGATGGCACCTTCTGTAATTCTTTGTTAATGGGAAGGAATGGATTTAATGGATTCAAGAAAGTTCCCTTTGTGTTCTTGATTGAATCTTCTTTTTGGAACTTGGAATTTTATATTTCCGTGGCCCTGGTTATCCCATGCTCTGTTTTCTTGTAAAATTTCCATTACAAATGCATAATGCTTTACTAGATTTATGATAAAAAAAAAAAAAATGTGTGGAATGTGTAGAAATATTCTTCAGAATTTGTGTTAATCATTTTTCTACATGGATTTTAGGTGGATATGGTTTAGTTTTCTAAGCCCTATATTAGCCCGTTAAAAGACCTTATAAACCAACAGATCTAAAGGTAACTTGTCTCCAAGAAGGTTCTTACTAGGGTTAGCAGCCTTATCGGCCCCTCTTAGGGAATTGCGAATTAGCACTTCTCAGATCAGGCTAGGCCTCTCCAGCTGAGCTGGGCGCCGGGGCCCTGGATGCGCTAAAAAAGCAAAGAGAAAAGACCTCTTATGCTGAAAAAGTCAGAAAGAGACCTATAGTCTAAATTGGCGTTGGGAGTGGGTCCGAGGAAAAAAGAACCTAAATTATTTCTTCATTATAGAAATAGCAATAGAATATGTGTTTATCGTTTTGTCACTTTTTTAGTCACTCTTTTTAGTTTTAGGGACAAATTGACCATGCTACTTTTTTATTAAAAAGTTCAACTTAACTTTAAAAATCGACATTGTGTCATTTTTAAAAAAATAACAAAAGTGACACTTAATTTTACACTTTACTTTTTACTTCCAAAATACCTTTTATATGATTTTTCGAAAGATCATTAATTTTAGAGATATTTTTGGAAGTCGCCCTTAGTTAAATTATGTGGACAAAAAGAACCAAAATTAGTTTGTAATGTGGTAGTTGTTTTTCTCCCGAAGCCATTGTTGGGTTGGCTGAGTTTTACTTTTCAATCCTTTTTACTTGAAAGTTTAAAGAGACACTAAACTTATCTTTAACATTTTCTATACTCTTTTTTCCCCTTAAAGACCATGTACTTGACACTTTTTGTCACAGGTTGACTAAATAGGTTTGCAAATGTTGGTGATGCACTGATGCTACTGCAGAAATGGCAGGAAATAACAAGAAATAGCCAGCCAGTTGCTAGTGATACTGCTGTTGCATTCGTGCCTTTTAAAAAAACAAAATTGATAATGAGGAGCTCTCTATGGACATGTTGCTAGAGACAGTTCGTGAAATCCTCTTTTGATGTTAATTCACTCTCTCTTGTATATTGGCCACCAATTATAAGTGATATCCAGAAGCATCGCAAAAGAAGACACAATCCATTATTTCAATTTAAAGTTTCTTAGTCTGGCTGCAGTTAGATGTTAGTCAGTTTTGTTGCTAGGAAGGGAGAATGTAATCACTTTTTTTAGCATTTGTCACTTGTTTTAAGTAAATCTTTTAGTGTTCGTCACTTTTTTTTTTAATTTCTGTTACTTTTTCGAATTTTTGCCACTCTTTTGAATTTGTAGAATTTATTTTTTAGCGTCTGTTACTTTTTTGAATTTCTGTTACTTTTTTAGTGTGTCACTTTTTTGAATTTGTAGAATCTATTTTTTTTGAGTGTCCGTCACTTTTTTAAATTTCCGTAACCTTTTTTTTGAATTTGTAGAATTTACCTTTTTTTAGTGTCTGTCATTTTTTTTTTTTTTTGAGTTGGTGTCACCTTTTCTTCTTCTTCTTTTTCTTTTTTCTTTTTTTTTTTTTCGGCGAAAAAAGTGACACTGTGTCACTTTTTAATTTTACATAGAATTTTTTTTACTTCCAAAAAACTTTGCATATGATTTTTCAAGGGCCTATTGTTTTTTTTTTCCTCAAAAAGCCTAACTAAAGAGAAGGCCCAAAATCTAAAAAATTAAAAAATTGGCCCAACTAAACTCTTCTTCCTCCTTCCCTTCTTCTTCCCTGTCGGCAACTGTAAGTGTAACTCTTTTTCCTCCTTCCTTTCTTCCCTGTCGGCAACTGTAACTCTTCTTCCTCCGCCAGTGCGTGCAGACACACTTTTTCTTCTTCTTTCTTCCCTCTTCTTCTTCTTCGTCTTCTCTTCTTGGTCCAGTGCAGGCACACTGGAGTTTCCTGTGTCAAGTTCAAAGTGCATGCCGATGCCCGCACTGGACTTTATATAGCCCCGCTCCTGTGTATAGATACAACCAGTGTATGTATTTAGTGGAGCGAGAAAATCTCATTTGAGTGGATATAATAGATTGTGGCTTTGGTGACTATGTATTCAAAATTCCATTTCATAAATAAAATTCAATTTTTGAGTTATAAACTCAACAATACATATATAGTTATTTGTCAATCCATACACGAAAGTATAATTTTCATGATAGGACACGTTAGTTCTTATTCGAAATTCAGAGAGAATTTACGCCAAACTCTATTGCAAGTGCAAAAATAAGCAAAACTTTTCTGCTGAACAACTCACTTGGCCATAAAATAAAATTTCATTTCTTGCTTATACCTTTAAATATTATTGATACTTGACTCGGGATTACTTTACGTTGCTAAATAACACTTGCCTCATCTCTCTCTCTCTCCCCCGAGGGAGGGGGAGAGAGATTATGATGAACTCGGAATGAAACTGAAAAAATAAATGTTAGGTAATTTAAAAAAAATAAAACATGATAAAAGGAAAAGAAATTAAAACATCCATTAATTCAGAAATTAATCTACTAATGCACCTATTAATAACTAAACACAAAAATTTAAATTTCTAGTTACTAATACAATAACCGTCAAGTTATGAGACTTTCATTAATACACATTAATTCAAGCATTAAACTTTATTGCAAATAATTGATATTCTAGCATTATATAACCCTTTCACGTGTCCTAAGTTGTTATCAATCAAGATTGAATTCCTATCTTTTACTTACAAATTGAGATGACTTCCAAATTTGTTCTCTTGGTTCTCCTTGGTGTTCTTATTTGCACCACCACTGCAAGAAAGCTTGTTGGCTCAGAAGGTTCTTTAGATGGAGATAAAAATTTCTCCCTTGGTCATTGGGATCTAGGAGGGCTTGGTGGAGGTGGTGGTGGAGGCTTTGGTGGAGGTGGAGGAACAGAAGGTGGTTTTGGTTCTGGAGGAGGAATGGGTGGTGGGATTGGAGGTGGTGCTCAAGGAGGAGGTGGAGGGTTTGGTGGAGGGGGAGGTGGTGGTGGAGGAATAGGTGGTAGTGGTTCTGGTTCTGGTTATGGAGCAGGATTTGGTGGTGGGATGGGAAGTGGTTCTCATGGAGGAGGTGGAGGGTTTGGAGGAGGTGGAGGTGGAGGTGGAGGAACAGGGGGTGGTTCTGGTTCTGGAGGAGGGTTTGGTGGTGGGTTTGGAAATGGTGCCCAAGGTGGAGGAGGAGGTTTTGGTGGCGGAGGCGGTGGTGGAGGCGGATTGGGTGGAGGATCCGGTAGTGGATTTGGTGCAGGAGCTGGTGGCGGAATAGGAGGTGGTGGAATCCCATGAGTAATTACTAATTAATTAAGAACCATTCCCATCTTTCAATAACCATTCCATACCTAGTGATCTTTTTCATGGCATTAAACTACTATTCAGCAGATGCTTGATTTGTACTTAAAAAGTTATTCAAACATATTAATGTGAGCTTCATTTCCTTTTCTCATGCTTTATTTCTTCCATGCAAATCTTCGTATGTTTTCTTATAATTTCATCACAAATTTAATAAGTACACATTTTTAGAAATTTGAAATTTAATATTTGTATAAATGAATAATTTATTCGAGCACTTTAATATTATATTTTTTAAGTGAATAAACACGTCCAATTTTAGTCCAAAATTGATATAAAAGTCATCTAGTTTGATTCCGATTCTCAATTCAAAGTCGTATTTGACATGTTTAATTTGGAGTCGAGTTTGACTAGCTACACAAAAGAATTTTGGTGTGTGATGAAGGATATAATATTTTATTTTCCTTAGGGCTTGACATAAATAAAATAGCACCAAATGGAGCCAAAAACATGTTTGAGCCCATATAACCCCTATTTGATTTTCATTCTTAAGCAGTGTTTTGATATCATTTTAACCATATATTTTTTTAATAAAATATTATTACACGCAAATCCAAAATTTTTTCTCATTTTTTAACCGCACATTTTCCATCAATACATTATCCAAAAATTCATTTTTATCAAAAGAACCAACTATCAAAACAAAATATGATCCTTGTTTGGTGAGAATTAAAATCAAATTTTCAATAAATTGTGATAAAATTTGATGAAATAGTAGTTAAAATATTGCGGATTTCATGAAATATGTGGCTAATATTAATTATTGATTTTGACTGGACTAGAATCTAGATTTTAATCACTATCAAACATGGGCATAACATTCATGCTTTTGTGCATGGCCATCTGGATCGGTCCTAGATAAGACAAGACAATCATAATGAAAAAGGATATATCTCATGAGCTTTGATTCGATTCCAAGTATATGTACTTGATATTGTGTTATGTTGTAATATTACTTGTTATTGTGATAACAATAGATTCAAAATTCTATTAGGGACTTATTAAAGACCCAAGAGGGAAATCTACTTAATTTCTTTATAAGCGATTGCATTTGTTTTCAGACAATCTTTATCATAAAATGTTATATTTGCTCTTGTTTGAGATATCTTGAAAAGTTGAATCAAAGTCAAAAACTAATTTTATCATACTATTTATGGGACTAACAATTTTTATCAAATTTTCAACCATATATTTTATCAACGTTTATTAAAATTTGCTAAAGTCTTATCACAAGCTTTGTCAAACAACCCTTGATATAGTTCTTATAATAGTAAAATAAAAAAAAAATGAGACTGTAGGTTAGGGCATCAAACTTGATGCCCATAATCTATATTTTTTAGTTTTTAGCTTACCCATTATAATAGTAAAAAAAATTAAAATTAAAATAATAAGAGACACTACTAAAAAATTAAAAAAAATTAAAAAAGTTAGGGGAGTCCCTTCATACGGAGCTCGGCAACTCATGTCACACGGGGCTGCTACTTCGTGCAGCAGCTCTGTGCGACACGGAGCTGCTTTAGCCACACAATTTATTTATTTTCTGTGTTTAAAAAAATGTTTTGAAAGGTGAATTTTCTTGTCTTTCTCATTGCTAGTTGACATAATTAAATGCTTCAAGAGAGGACAATTATTCATGAAATTGAGTTCAAAATAGGAAAAGATTCTTCGAATGTTTTGACAAATTCCACAACTATATTTTTGCTCCGTGCGCGCACGGACCTGGTTGTCCGTGAAATTGAGTTCAAAACTGGAAATGATTCTTCAAATTGCATTTCATTCGATTATATAAACCATGTTCCTTCTATTAATCATCAAAATTCTAGATAAGCTTAAACATCCCGATTTAATATGGTAATCGTCAAAATAGTAAACATTTTCTGGCTAAAAACGAAGGTAAATTTTCAGTATAAATTTAATATGGTAAAATAAGTCCAACCTACAAAATCTAGGATGCAAATGTCCTCTACTAAAATAAAATACATCAAAGGAAGCATGCCTCTAAAACTTTGAAGTGCCAAAACATATATGCCATAAAAATTACTAGGCATAGACATAGCATCCATTCTGTAAAAACTACCAGCATAAGCAAAAGCCTAGTCCATAAAGAATCTCATACCTCTTCTAGAAGCACAACAAGCATCCATGTCTT